CCTCATTTACACTCTTAACGCCCTCCACCCCTCTCCCAACCTGCGGGGCTTTGCCTGACAACTCCCTGGGTCCAGAATCCTTTACCCCACCCCCTCTCATCAATACTTTTTCGAACAAAGCGACACATGGATAAATATATTTTTTTCTATACTCCCTTCCTTTCCTTTCTCCTGGGATACCCTCAGTCAGCCCTCTGCTCCCGCCCAGGTATCTCTGTCCTCCTCAGATCGCAGCCGTGGGGAGCGGACCCTGGTCAGACTGGGCTCACTCAACATTCCAGCATCACAGCCACAGGCGAGGAGCTGCTGAGGCCAGCGGCTCTGCACATACTGGACAGCGGCTGCGGCGCTAAATGCATAGAAGGAATCATTAGAACGAGAATAAAGTCTTCTCTGGAACCACTGAAAAATGCCACAGATACTTATCAGTCTGGGCAGATCACTACTGAGGATGAAGAAGTGGGATGGTCAGGGTAACTTAAAATATCTGCTAGTCTTCTGTTCTAATAACCCATAAATAACCAAGTAACAAACGAATGGTCATCACCTCTTTGATAATACCTATGTCAAATACCTATAATACCGTGGCCAAATCATGTAAACACTATTCATAAGTAAAGGTGTTAAATATTGTATTACAGCTACCATTTCACCACAGTGAAGGAATTTAAAGGAAGATGAATATGTATTTGAAAAACAACAATATTGAGTTATTTCCTGACAGACAGAAAAAGGTTACTTTCCCCAGTCAGTCATTCAATCTACAACTATTTACCGTCTATGACTTGCTAGTAACAGTCCCAGCAAGTCATAGGTGGTGAGCACAGGAGATGCTTGTCCTTATGTTCTATTTTCTAGTTGAAAGGAACAGATAATACACACATACCTGGTGGTGGTAAGTGCCCATACAGAAAAATAAGTAGGTCGGGGGTGTGAGGAATGCTGGCGGTGAGAGGGGCAGGGGTTTTCTTTCTTCTCGGGCGGTTCAGGAAGGCCTCCCCGATGAGATGACATCTGAGCAGAGCCCTGAGAGATGATGGCATGCCTTCCAGCACCCAGTTAGGAAAGGGGGGGGGGGCGCAGAGAGCTCGCGGGGGGCACAGACCACAGCTCAGAACAAGCCAGGAGGCTGATGGAAGGTTTTAAGCAAAGTAACACCGTCGTTTTAAAAAGCCACTTTGGCTGCTGTGTCGAAAGCAGCCTGTGAAGAGAGAGGGGTTGAACTCCGGACACCGTCAGGGGCTACTGCAAGCAACTTGGAAGACAGGATGGAGGCTCTGACCAGGGCTGGGTGCCGCAGGTGGCCCAAAGCACTTGGTTTCTGAATGCATTTTGAAGGAGGAGCCGATAGTTTTACTGATGGATTGGAGGCAAAGGACATCAGACAAGACTTCAAGATTTCAGTGCAACAGCTGAAAGGATCGGGGGGGGATAATCACAGGGAAACGTGTGTCTGAAGAGGAAAGTGGTCAACCAGGTGTTTGCGGCACATCAGATTCTAGACGTCCATTAGAACATCCAAGAGGAGATGGTGACTACGCAGATGGACATGTAGGTCTGGAGTAAATAGGGAATCATCAGCATACTGATGGTATTTAAAGTCAGAAGACTGGATGAGACCCAAGGAGGGGCACAGACAGAAAAGATGAGAGCTTAGACATCATGGCCCTGGGCACCACGTATAGAGACTGGGAAGATGAGGAATGAGCAAAGGAGAGTGAAAAAGAATACCTACTATGTTCTAGGCTGGTGTTAGATGAGAAAACAAGTCTACCCTGCAGACATGCAGCATCACGCTGCGGGCTTCCGGGCTTCTCTCTCTAAAAACACAGACATCTGAAGAATTGCTCAGCAAGATCCCACCTCTCACTGTCATCAGTTTAACAGCATGAAACTATGTCCCAAAGAACTGTAAGATCCAACGTTAGGATAGTAATCAAGAAAACATAAATAAAGCAGCAAGCCGTCATCTATCAAATCGGTCCCAAATTAACATTCATACAGTTACCAGGTATAGTTAAGGATGTGCAGAAATACAAACTGTTCTACAGAACAATTTAAAATTATAAAGCAAAATTAACTTTCTAGGTATCTGCATATAAGATGATAGTGTCTATGCAAATTTGGAATACAAACTTAAAACCCACATGTTATGTGTGGATATGCACATGTATGGTAAATGAACAGAAAGAAAATCCTTAAGTGTGGTTACTGTTTGCCTCTGGGGAGAGTGACATGAAAGGGTAAGTAAGGGACATTGCACCTAATGTGTGATCTTTATTTAGCTTGCTTCCCCTCCCCCACCCCACCCCCAATACAATGAATTTAAGAGAAAGTCTTAAAGCAAATGAAAGAAAATATAATCACCAACTCTAGTGTGAATTCATGAGTGCATATAATAAAACTCTTTGTAATCTCAACTGTATTAAAAAAAAAACCTCAAAATATTTTTTAGAAGGACAAAAGACAACAATAAAGGGAAAACAAGACCATTTGTTTCAAACAACAAATACTGACCATTTATTGCCTTCACTGCAAGCCTATAATAAAGCAAAAGTGAAGGAATATGTTTTGCTGGCATTTTATAAAGAAACATGAGGTCTCTGGAATGAAATAGCAGTTGGCAAAATCCACCGAAGTGCTGTAATTTACTATTCAATAAAAACCGTGAAAAAAAAAATTAAGAGTATTACCAATAAACACAGTAATTAAAACACACACACACAGAAAAACAGGTAAAGCTACCTAGAGTTTTATCAGAGAATCTCAACTGCATTGGGAATGAGGCCATCAAGTTTGAGTTGTGACCTAAAACCTGCTTCCATAGTTTCTGGAATGGGGCGAGAAACGACAAAAATGAATGGGAGATAATGTGAGATCATCATCAGCCAGCCAATTGGAATGGTGCTGATAATTCATGAATACCACCCACTTAATTCACCTATGGAAATCTGGGATATAAACACAAGCTTCCCTTGACAATTCAGTAGATTCTACAGACATTTACTTAATTTTGTAAGACTCATCTTCTTGAAAAAGTAAACCACTTGAGTATATATTATAATAATAATATTTTTAACATTTATACCTTTTTCAGAAATTAGTGTTTCATGTTACAGCCCTTACTTTGAGCTTTTTCTAGTCTGTGGGTGATAAATATACTCACTGAAACCCTTACTCATTTTTCCTAGCTTTTTAATTCTGAATTGCTCAGTGCAACAGCAATAAAGCAAATAAATAATGAGAGTTTTTTTTCACCTAAATACTTATGGTAGTTAATTTACTGCAGGATTACAAAGAGCAGAAAATAAATAAAACAGACTATTTATATTAGAAGTAAATTATAGGTATATTAATTTTATTAAATGTGTGTCTTTAAACATAGACACCAACACAGAATTCAATTCCTAGCCATTCAAAAATCAGTTTTAATACTTCTGTTTCTAGGACAAAAATGTTACACATATGTTCATTTGACATATTACTTTTAAATCCTGATATTGCCATTCCCAATATGCATCAGAGTATCAAAGTGTCTACAAAACACTAAGAACCTCCTTTTTGTCCTAAGTTTGTTATAATTATCTTTTCCTTCTTTTAAGAACACATCCATTTATTGCCAATAATTAAAATCTAAGGCAATCCTTTCCTTATGCTTAAAATACTAAATCATATCAACTGTAGCACTTACGATATGAGTCACTTCTCTTGAATATTTAGAAACAAGTTCAGGCTGGTTCATCTAGTGTGTTAATTGTTGTCAGGTGGAATGAAAAGCATTTGCTTTTTTTACCTATGTTTTCAAAGATGTCTTCACCATTTTCTCTTTGGAAATTTTTCTACATCAAACTAGTACATACTAACTGAAACACAGCAAGCAGATAAATGCTTAATTTAGGGTATTTTTCAAAAACGCAATAGGACAACTTAAAAAAAAAAAAAAACACCACACATATCTCTTTTGTTGCTAAATTCTTGGGTTAAAACCAAAAGTCTTGCAAAAATAAAATTCTACTGTCTGATTCGTCAGAACACATGAACAGGTTTATTTCTCCTCAAAGCTGGTTAGAGACAAATACTTCTAGTTGTTGAGCTAACATTGTTAAGAAAACAATCGGTTAACCTTTTCAAGATAATAAACAATTCGGGGAAGCAAACAAATACTTTATGTCACAAATATTTCCAGAGCAGCTGCCCTGAACAAGGTGCTGTGCTGAGAACTGTGGGTGGCCACGAGTATTATCCGGGCAAGAATTCTACTCATGACACGCTTGAGAATCTCAGTGAGGAGGTGAGCGAGGAAGCGTGTAAATAATAATAAAAACATGGCAGAAAGGGATTCATTACTTTCACGGAGCAAACTCTAGAATATTACAGGTGTTGAGAAAAGGGAACAATTGCTTTCCACGAGTGCTGTGGCAAGGGAAAAATCAGAGAAGGCTTGGTGACAGCGGTGGATTTGAGCTGGATCTTGGAGGAAAATAAGATTTCGACCGGGTGCAGACGGGGAGCCGCGTTTCTGCGGGGACCGAGCGCGGGGCCTTCAGGGAGCAGGGGACAGGCAGAGAGCCGGATCAGCGCCACGGGAGCAGGAGACTCAAGCGGTGGGACAGGCGAGAGAGAGAGATGAGGGATACAGGTGGAGAAGCGGGTGGGCGTCAGACTAGAAAGGGTTTTGAGGAATTACTTGGAGGTCAAGTGGCTCATACTGTACTTGGTAGGCAAATGGAAACCAATGGAAGACTTGGAGCGGAGGGATAGTATGATCAGACACATGCTGCAGGAAGATTAACAACGTCAGTAGGGATAGATGTTAAAGGAAGGAAGACAAAGTAAAGACGGGAAACTGATCAGGAGTCTGTCACATAGGATAAATAAGAGGCAATGAAAATAGGAACTGGGCAGAGTCAGTGGGAATGGAAAGAAGAGTATGGATGCAAAAAAAAAAGAAAGAGTACACTGTAAATAGCATTTATGAAAAATATGGAATAAAGCCTTACCTGATTCTTCTGTATCTTGTTCATCTATTAAACCTACTGAGACGCCTAAATCCACACATTTCTTGCTATGTGTCTTGGACTTCATGTGTTTTGTCAGATTTCCTTAAGGGAAAAGAATGTTTACTAAGCTTACATAGTATTATTTTGCTATTGCATTTGTCAATACTGGCAAATTCCATTCCTATTTCAAGTGAAAGTACAGACTGTGGTTACACAATTCCAATGACTAAAATTTGTTCAAAAGAAAATACTGGCATCTGTATGTTGTAATAACCCTGTTACTAAGTAATAATCTCTCTTTCAGAGAGATTTATTATTCAGATTAATTATTAAGTAATAATCTCCTCTACTTTGATAATGTCTACCTCTGCCTTATGGTTTCTATTCTCTAGTCCTTATTTATCTCATAGAACATTTTATACACAGTTAAAATCCCTTTCAGATTGCACTGTGACCTGTGGTTTCTGAATTCTCCCCAGGCTGTGTCTGCTGGCTTTCCCTCATAGTATTTTATTTCCCTGTACACTTTGCAGTTTTTATTGTAAACTTATCTTGGGCAAGATGGTTCTGCATGGAGTTGTAAGTACCCTGGGCTGTAGACACATCTCTATATGTTGGTCTTCCAGTTGCTTCTGCCTGGGACTTTAACAGTTTCATCCCACTAATTCTGGATGAATCTGGGGATCTTGTTGGCATGCCACAGGTACAGGGATTTGTTTTTCAGCAGGGAGCTTTTCCCCTATGTGATCCAAAGACACTGGACAGGTGAGCCAGGCTTCTTTCAGAGGCCTCAGACTCCATTCCAGGACCAGTAGGAACCCCCAGGTCTGTGGGCATACATCTGGCTTGATGTGCCTATGGGGATTTTTTTTTGCCTCCCGTATCTGTTCACCATGCTAGTTCGGAGTTTCTTTTTTATCTCTGGTATCTGAGAACCTGTCTTTCTAAATGTCAAGCTTGGCTATCTATTCAAAAATTATAGTTAGTTTTTGTATTATAAATAGCATTTCTGTGTGCTTGGAACAAGAGAAAGAATTTTCTGCATTAATTTCACTTCACCCTTCTGACTAAAAGTCTCCTAACAGTAACCCTAAAGGAGTGTTTCCTCTGGCAGCTGGTGTATTGACCCCTATAAGTGTCACCGGGTTACCCTGGGAAGCATTGGGCACACCGGCCAGAAGTGATCATTAACACAGGGAGAGAACTCAGATTCTCTAGAGGATAACAAGCAGCTTGAGTGGATAATGCCACACACACCCAAAATTGCCAAGAAGGGAAAATCACCTCTTTTGAAAAGAAACAAAATCTAAATGCTGGGTTTGGTGAGCAGGGGCATATTAGTATTAGAGAATAAACCTTTAGAAGAGCTAAACATGTCTGAATCACTGGTCCAGACTTGGAGCCAAATCTTGCAGTAGCTAGAAGACCAGCGAAACTGCAATATTTATAGAACTTCAATTCCACTAAAAATTCACTAAGCTGGTGGATCTGGTCACACCTGTTTAGACCAATTATTGCACTAGTTAGTATGTACAACATCCCAGAATTTGGGGCTTAACGGGTTTAAGTGAAAGCGGGGGCCCGGACTAGATACTAAGATCCGGCAAACCCTGATCTCTGTGATTCTAGAGATAATGTCCAGCTTAGATGACTTGGCCATGTCTGACATTTATTTTAAAATAAAGCACGAAGCAAATAGGCCGACATGTTAACAACTATTAAAAGATGATGGGTATACTGGTGCTCATTGTACAAATATCTACTTTTCTGTACACTTCAAAATTTTCATATTAAAAGTTATGACTAGTTTTCCCATCTTATTGTGGCTGAAATTACCATTTATAAGTCAAAACACTTTCTAGTATGATGACAATATTACAAACCGTATTATAAGGTCCACTAATAGTTCTTTCAAAATGCTTTTGTTCCCTAAATAGATAGTCATAGAGGTCATTTGTTTTCTAAGAGGTAGATGTATAATTGTAAGGAGGCAAATTTGGGAATATAAGTTTTTAATAAGCATATTTTCTCATAACAAGCTATTACTTATTATTAACCAACTGTGTAAATAATTTAAAATAAAGCAATTTGCATTTCATATGCAGAACATGCATATTAGAATGCAAATATCCCCTAGCAATGCTGTAAACTTGCTGCATTAATTTAACACAATACATTTTTCGACAGGTTTAATAAACATTCATCTAAATCCTCTGGAAAGCAGGAAAGCTTTTGTTTCTGGGTTCCTATAGCTATATATAGAGAGAGCCCAACTTTCTGTGATATATATGGGGCTAAACCCTGTAGAGATGCAAGCTCAATGTGTATTTTCTGCTGATTGACCTTTAAAGTAGAATGAAGACAAATCAATTAAAATTGATCTGAAAATGCATTCATAAAATAAACTGAGAGGACAAATGATGAAGCACAGACTTATAAGCATGACCACCAGAAGCATCGAGGTCTAGGAGGCCAGAGCACTGCTATCTTTGTACACTCCTATTTATGGGGCATGCCAATCATATCACTATTACTTTCTGTTAATAGACACATCCAATAAGTAGTAGAGGTGAACTGCCTAGGAAAACCAAATCAATCAGAGTAGGGCAAAATCTACAGTCTCATCAAAAAGCAAGTCTTTTATTATTTAGCTGCCTTTAAAAGGTACCATGGAATCTGTTCCACATACATTCACAAAAGGTAGACTTCTGCAAGGAAGCTGACCATAGAAAAGAGAATTGCCCTAAGGAGAATAGGGAAATAGTGAATTTCTGACATTTTCTTCACCAGTCTCCTTAGCTCGGGTAGCTTTCTTTAAATAAGTATTTATCACATAATTCCAATCAACAATCTGACAAAACAAAGTTTAATGTAAACTCATGCATGTGGCGTGTTCAAGAAATGAAAGACAGGAAGACTGCTGACACGCACTGCTCCCTCTTCACAGATCACAATGCCCCGGCCACCATTTAACAGATATTTATCTAAAATTCTACATGACGCTGGTTTGAGTTTCTCACTAGGATTAATACTTGGTGATTCATGAAATTTTTCTTTACCAAGAAATCTCTGTGGTTCCATTTGGTTTTCCACATCTATATTTTCCTTCCTTTCTTGCCCTTTTAAATATACCTTTAAAATATCCTGATTCCATTCCCTCCTTCTACTGAGAAACACCCATTTCACATTATACCTTGATCCTCTTTATTTGGTAACATCACTCTGTACCTGGTCATCTTTTATTTGTAAATACTGGCCTATTGCTGATCTCCTGGTCTCACATTGGAAATTATTTAACAGACGGGCATTTCTTAATCATTAGGAACAAAACCAGTGTCAAAGTCATGAATTGGGTTAAAAGATCAAAGCACTTAATCCTATCAAAGCCTTCCCACAAGATCAGAAAATCATCCTGAAATGCACTCTCCACTACTAGAAGGAACTCCTCTATACACCACAATCCAAGAAAGACAGAATCACGGTTGCTCCCAACTCATGATTTCTTGAAACTTTAGAAATATTCAAGGTTATCTGGATCACGGTTTTGTCTTCCCCCCATCACTCCTGTTTCAGGTATTACTGGCATTTAAGGAGAGCTAATTAGAAGCTACTTAGTTTCTATACACTATAACTCTCCTTAAATGCCAATAAACACTAGCCAAAAAAGGTAATAAACTTTGCTGAAGAAGTGATCAATCTTTAAAACAAAAACCTCAAAGTCAACCAATATAATAAGAAAAAAGCAAATGTTAACTAAAAGGGATTAAAAATAAAGTAGTTCTGTGTAAAAGTTACTGATTAAGTATTTTTCATAGATTTTGTCCTTTCAGACATATAATTTTATGATCACACTGCCTTGTATTTGACAGAGTCTTATTTTGTAAAGGGTGGTATATGAAATTGAAGCCTCAAGCAACTAATTTTTATACAATAATCCATAAACAAGGAACCTAATGGAGAAAGCAAACATTTTACAATAGTGCATTCATTATATGTAACAGGAAATTTGCAGAAGGTAAAATTACCTTAACTATAATAAAGCCTTACAATTTAAATAAAAACATATAAAGAGTACAGAAATGGTACTAAATATAACTTTAATTACTAGTTCTGAGTTCTATAAACATTAAACAGTATAAAAGAAAACTTTTGAAACTGAAATTCAACAGAATTTGGGTAGAAAAAAAATGTTTCATGAAAAAAAAAATGGCTATGCATGACTAAAATTAGATAATAAAACATGAATGTAATCAGTATAATTTTACTGTACTTATTAATTTTTGTTTTTAGTCTTTTAGCACTGAAATGCATTTACTTGTGATCACAAAAACTTCTTTTTCTTCTTTAGCCCCAAAATAAGTAATTTTGAAAATGTATTAGTCATCATGTTATGCAACTATAATTTGGGGAGTAAAAGAAAAAAAGGGCAGTTACTCCTTTTCGAATGTCATATTTACAACATATATTCTAAAAGTGTGTAATTAAAATCTGAGGTCTAGATATACATAAAGAAATAAAAACATGATGCTAACAAGGTATAATTTATATTGGTCTATTTAAACTACTGCATCGTTGGTCAAAGAATATGTAAAGCTGGGTCTTAGCTCTACTGACTTAATGCATATAATAAAGGACCATGAAGCAATGTCAGCTCATACCTTTAGTCTTAAAGGAGAAGTTACAGTAAGTGCAGTGGTAGGGGCGGACATCTGTGTGGGTTCGTATGTGTTTCTTTAACATACTAGGTTTCTTACAACGGATTCCGCATTCTTCACAAATGTACTTTCCTCTTCCCCTGCCTCGGACATATACATACTCTTCATTTGATTTATATCTAATTTAAAGAAAAAAAAATGAATAAAGCAATTGGATACTACGCCTTGGAAAAAATACTGATGATTAAAATTCAACCTAAAAAATAAAACAAGGCACAATTTTTACACTCAATCAATATAAATGTTATGCACATACAAGTAACAGAATATTCCAGCTTTTCACAGCAACACAGTATTCTAATAGCTAATTCAATTCAAGCAACTTTATTCAATATCAGGTTTAATTTTAAAATAGTTCCTCTAAGTCACTTGTCTAAAAGTTTTGTTATAGTTAAATTCAGTTACAACTATAAGTACTGAAATATTTCTGAGCTTCATTTTAACTATAATTGGCTGTTATGATTTTTCTCACAACCAAATTCACAAAAGATATCAAACAGGCAATTAATTCATCTCTCTTAGCAGATTTTTCCAGGCCATTCCTTATTATGAATCAATGTGAAACCCAGGGTTCACTCTGAAAATTTAGTGTTCAGCTGCCTCCTAGAACCTACAATGTTTCCTCAATAGTTACCATTTTCTTGATCAAAATGGAGTTATTTAACATAATACCTAACATATATTTTGCCATGAAAATTCTGTTAATAAGCTGAGAAACTCTGCAACATTTATATAAAATTGGCACTAGTAAGTCTTCATTCACATGAAAGCAAATGTACATTTAAAAAGTAAGTTTAAATGTACATTTAAGAAGTAAAATTTGTACTTGCCCTCCATCAAATATTTTAATTCTTCTTGGTTCACTTTTGATTAAGGAATTTTCTTTATCTTGCTCACTGTTAATTTCAGAGGCATCTTTACTGCTGAATTCAACTACTGTGGACTTTTGATTACCTAATGCTCTCTGAAAGGGAAAAACAAAAAAAGAGAGACACTAATTTAATAAAGCTGAAAACACAAACATGCTGATGTTTCACTTGGAAATTAAAACACGGCAGAGTACAGTGCATAAGGTTAGCTTAATGGAAGGCATTACAAGGACGTAACAGCTTTAAAGGTCATTGCTTTCTCTACTTTATCTGTCAGAATCACAGTGAACTGATAAATCTTATTGGATTTTAAAATTCCACCACATTCCAGTGACACCCCCAAATAAAGACTCTACAACTCTCCCACCCTGGTATCCAATGAACTTAATAGGAATTAAAAAAATAAACTAAATATTGTTCTTAGAGCTAACCAACCCCTCACGTTACAGCCTAAGCATACTTGTTAAAGAGTTTACTCTTTAAAGATGGAAAATAGCTAGCTACCCCTGATGGCATAATGTCTCACACCCTGAAAAAGACAAGTAACTCCCCCTCAGTGTCAATGTGCTGTGAAGTTAAGGCAGAAGCCCTGTTTCCCAATATTTTAGCCTCCTCTTCCCCATCATTTTAAACCATAACTAGATGTCTTCTCTCTATCCTCTCCAAATTTGCTGAACACTGATGACTGTGAATTATACATCACAGGTCAAAAGTTAGGTCTTGGCCCCATACTCCTTAAATCTCTAGGAAAAAACGTTCTGAACACGAGAAGAACGAGCAGTGTGGCCTCTCCCCGCCAAAACGCGCAGAGACACCGTCTCGTGACCTCATACAGCCGCCTACGCCCAACCACTGAGCCCACTCCCCGCTCACTCTGCCCTCAAAGGCCCCCGGGAGGCGGGCAGCACTGCTAGAGCACGTCCCAGGGCAGAAGGACCCTGTCCAAGGTCAGTGTTAACGGCAAGGGCACCAGCTCCAGTCCTCTGGCCAAACCCCAAATAAGGCCCAACTTTCCTGCTCGAGGGCCTCCTGATTCCAGCCTCCCCTACAAGCTTCCTCTAAGAGTCACACCAGCAAGCAGCCGGCTATCGTACTGCGATGACAGTTAAGCGATGACAGGGTCTGTGTCCCATGGACAGAACAGAGGGCCAACGTGACCTCACCAAGAACCCCTTTGGGAAGGCGCCGTCCTCAGAAAGCCAGGGGTAAAGAAGAGCAGCTGGCCTGAGTGTCTCAAAAAGGTGGTATGAAGAGGTAATGACACGGAGTCTGACAAGTACAGATGCAACTGTCTCCTCCGTTTCTGGCAAACACATCCGGCTTCCCTGCAATCTGGAATCTATATACGCACACTTTTCCTTGATTTTGTACCTTTAACAGTAGTAATCCTATTTCTTACCTTCTCAGTACCAAATTCTCACTTATCTTTTGCTCACATTCTTGCTATCAAATCTCATTTCTGTTCACCAGTGAGCTACATGCCAAAAGCTTTACTATTTTCTTAAGTCTATATGCTTAACCACTCTATCCACTATATGTTGTTGACACCTCCTTTCTTTTAGCATCTGTCTATTCTTTTCCATTTTGAATTATAAATACATCCACATTTGGGTGAGTGAACCTTCAAGCCAGTAGCCAGTTCCCCGAGGTCACCAGTCCACGTAGCTCAAGCCTCAGGGACATCAGACCATTCACAGTCCTGATACCATGCTCGTCCTCTTTGTCTTCTGACCTCTTAGCTCGAACAATTCTCCTTGAAATATCTTCTTTCTCGCCCTGTGTGATACCACTTTCTCCTAGTTCCCCTCCTTTTGAAATTCTCTTTCAGTTCCAATGGGGACTTTCTTCATTCATTCAACCCTTTAAATAGTAGGGATCTTGGGATCCGTCCCAGGCCCTTCTCTCTTCTTCACACTCTTCCTGAGCGATCTCATTAACTGCATATATGCACTGAAGGATCTCTACACCTTCCACTCTTTCCCAGCTCCAAATCCAGGGTGTGCACTTCCCAAGGCATTTCTGCCAAGCACTCGGCACTGAAGGAGAGCTAGTTTTCATAGGTGCTTCAGGAACATCGATAAATTAAGCTCTGTTTAAACTCTCATGCTCAAGTCTCATTTTCCATCTGATTTAGTAGACGTAGAGACTGAGCATCTGAAAATTAAATTCTGAGTGGTCTGGATGCACCCTCCTCCACTGAGAAAGTATCAACGGCTCTCTACCACCATGTGCATTCTTTGGTCTTTATTTACAGTTCCAACTTCAAACTAGGTCAGTGTCTGAAACTTCCAACACCTTCTAGCCATGCTGGACTCCTCGGGGTTCTTTAAATGAACCAAGTTCTTTTTCACTTCCACATTATTTAGCAGACTATTAAAATTTCTCACTTCTGTTTGCTTGAAAAAAAAAAAACAAACTACTTTTTTTTCTTCCTTAAAGATTCAGCTAAAGTATCACCACTCTTGGAATATCTTTCTTTTATTCCTTGAGTTACCTGGTCATGTTAGAGACTTCCTTCTTTTAAAGTTGTATACACTTCTATTATAATACTGATACTGTGACTGTTGTCATATTGATAAATAAATATTTAGGAACCTGTACAACCTGTACAGATCAAGAACTTGATCTATAATTCTGAATGTCCAGAGTCCAACCTAATACCCTTATTTATGTATTTATTCTTAATCATTTAAATGATTTCCTCATTTCATAAAGCCAACAACTCTAACAAGATTTCACCAATAATCCAAACTTAATACTTTTATGACTTTTCTGTACAAATCTTGACCAAATCAACTTAATAATCAAGTGTATAATTATTTTGTGAATCTTTCCTCTAGTAGTAAGATGATTCTCAGAGCTACATTGGACAAGATATGGGATCAGCATAGTGAGTGTAGGGCAGTCAGATTTGCATAAAGCAAGGATGAATGGCTCTCTGCTTCTATTTTAAAATGAAACAGAACAATCTCCAATATTCACACCTCTGTTCCCCTTCATTAGCAGGGACAAAGCATAAACGTAGTCTTCTGTCACCTAACAAGAAAAACAAATCCTTAGTATAAGAGGAAGATGAAAGTAAAAATATGATTAATATGTACCATTAAGATTTAAATTTCGACCAATAGAAAAAAAGTGCTCAGGGCAGGTTATCACTTTCAAAATGCTTCAAGACAGAATCACTGAAGGCACTCTGGGTAATCTTGATCAATAGAGCTCCCTGGGTAAACTTATCACTTTCTTTCAAGTAACTCTACACTTAGCACAATCTGTCATTCAAAATTAAAATATAACCTCCAACTGAAATGTTTGCAGGCATCCAGACAGGTGGAAACTAACTTGCACAGACTCTTTCTGAAGATAAAGGATATTTCAAGTACCTTGCTTAAGTTGCTTTTCCACTTGCTTGAATAGACCAGTAAGTCTGACTTGAAATGGGTGGTTATTGCTTGACAGTATAGAGATTTTCCGGTCTTCTGCTTGGAGTTCAGGAGAGAAAGAGCCACTTTGGTTGGCAGGCCGAGTGGGTTTGGATCACTGGCGCTCACGGCCCAGTCGGTGTAGGCCGAGGTTTTCTGGTCCGTCTGCGGCAGGTGCAAGGCCCTCTGTCTCATCAGGTAGCACCACGTGAAGCTGGTGGCCGTCTTCAGGCTGGGGAAGGACACGGACGGCTGTGTGTCGCCAGCCTCACACGTGGAAGGAGTCGTGGCCGCAGGCTGACTCTGTTCCTGGACGTTTGCTTTGTCGCCTGGATCTTTAACCCCTGGAGACTTCCTTTCTGGGCGGTCGTCTATGGATTTCAAAGGAGAAATGTGAGTTTTCTCTGCAGGCACAGCTGGGCTTCCAACTGTCGGCGTCAGCAATGCGGCTGACGGGATGCTTTCAAATTCCTGCAGTTCTTTCACAGGTTCTCTAGCCACAGGCTTGCAGTGTCCTGATGACAAGTTATCAGCTGGTGACACAGCGGTCAAGGGAAGAGCCTCGGTACTGACTTCAGGGTGAGGAAAAACATCCTGCTCCCACGCCACAGCTTCAAGGGGCTCCGTGGTGCAAACCTGCCTCACCAGCACATGCTTCTTCTGTTTGCTGCCGTCAGGAGCTCTTGAACCCCCCGCTTCCAGCGGTCTCGTGTCTGTCGCACAGACAGCTCCGTTTTCATCCTTGGCTCGCTTCTGGTGCTTTTCCATGGCAATGTCTAAACTATTTGCTGGGGAGAGCATCCGTTTACTGGAAGCTGAAGATTCTTGTTGTGGGGAAAGTCTCCCGACAGACATCTTTGGTGTTGTGGACGAGGATTCTGCTGCAGATGGGTTTTGGCCCATCTCTGAAAAGACAGGTTGGCGGATGAGCTCTCCGTCTGGGTTTGGCAAAGCATTCCGGGGATCGTTTTGCGGTTTTGGTACAGAATTTTGTTCTTCGCTGATTGGCACCATACTACGATTAGCCTGGCAAATCGGCTGATTGGAGAGATCCTGGGTCACTAGGATTTGTGGCAGAGGTGTGACTGCAGCGAAACAGTATGCGGGGACCTGAGTCTGCAGGTGCGTGGACAGCGTCAAGGACGTGGGCACCTTTGGCACCTGACCGCCGAGAGCCCCGACTTTCAGGGCTGGCGGAGGACACGAGTTAGATGTGGCTTCTGCTAATTTGGCTGGTAAGGTCAGTGAGGTCGCACGAGGGGCGGCCCCGGCTGGATCTGAAAGAACTTGCTTTGGCAGAGGTTGCACAGGATTAGAAGCACAAGGCTGGCTCGAGGTGACCGCGGGACACTGGAGCTGGTACTTGGGAGCAAAGCAATCCTCACTTTGAGAAGGTACACACCCATCGGGGCTTGCATCTGGTTTGACGCTCTGTGCTGAAGATACCTGCAGGGACGTCTGTGTGTCTGGGTGGTTAAGGGGCACGTGGATTTGATTCAACAAGTGGATACCGAGAAGCTGTGGGACGGGAAAGAGGTTTGGAGAGTGGGAACTTGCCGTTTCTGCTCGCACGTCCTTCACTGGAGTCTGGGAGTGCAAAGTGTTTGCAGGAAACTCGGCTGAAACTGGGTGAGTGAGCTGAAGCCCCTGCAGTGGCACTGTGCTCACAGCCGGACGGGCGATGGTCTGAAAAGACAATGGGTTCCCGGGAGCCAGCGGATTCTCCGGAGCGATGTTTAAGGAGATCTGCCGTATCAGTGGGCCCCTCCGTCTTTCCAAGAGGGGCACGTGCCCTGCGACTCCCATGCCGGAAGGAGATGTTGGAGGATGCGATTCGGCCGGTGGTGTCTTCTGAGATGGGGCGATGCTTCCACAGTCGAATGACTTGCTTCTGAAATCGGACACCTCCATGGACGTCTGCAGGCAGTGAATCTGTTCCGACGCGGCTCGCCGCATCTCCCGGTGACACCCCGGAACACTCAGGGTGTTAGAGCCAGCGGGAATCAGGAGGAAGTCTGCTTTGTGCAGAAAGTCAATTTTGGGGGAAGCCTCAGTCTTAGAAACGTCCTCCACATCTAGGGAGGCAGAGAAACTCGACGTGTGTGATAAACTACTGTCCCTGCTGAGACTCCGGGAGAGCGTGGAGTCGAAACTCGACTCGGCGGAAGAGTGCTCCATCTCGGCCAGGCGCAGCCTCTTCTTCTTGGGCGGCAGTTTCTCCGTCGGCAGCTTGGACAAGGTTTCGCTCCGCTGAGGCCAGCTGAACTTCTCCGACTTCTCCGGATCATGGCCTTGGCCTTCCAAGTCCCGATCTGGCTCTTCGGTGACCAGGATTTCTGGGACTTGGATGCTGTGCTGCCGAACGAGTCTGGAGGGCTGTCCGAGCACGTGCCGCTCACCTGAGATCTTTCTGGAACCGTCCTGAAGTTCCCCTCTCAGAGCATCGGACAGCGCAGGCTGGTGGGGCTGTGACGTGTGCCGTAGAGGGTGGCCTTCCTCTTGGGAAATTCCTCCGACGCTCAGAGATCCCGGCTTGCCCGTTCTCAGCTCCTGGAAAGAAACTGGGGACGCACCTTCGCCAGCCTCCAGCTTGTCAAAGGCCCCGGGCCTACCGAGCGAGTTTGTGTGTTGGATGACCGAGATGCCGGCCCCGTGTCTCTTGGGCTCCGCCCTGTCCTGGGCAGTGGAGCTCATCGGCTCTTCCAGGACGGACGACGGCTTCGGGTCCCGGGACTGGCTGGGGCCTCTGGGCCCCAGCTGAAGCTGGGTGGCCTGCCGCTGGAGGTTTCGAGGCTGCAGCTCACCAGGTAGGGCAAGGTTCTGCTGGGACAGACTGGGAGCTGGGCCCAGCATGCTCTGAGACCGGGAGCCCTCAGAGCTTTTCGGAGGAGCTCCACTCTCATTCTGCTGAAGCTCGTCGTCATCTCCAACGCTTTTCATTTTCCTCCTCTTCCGGATCTGGGGCGTCTGTTCCCAGACCCCAGTGGCCCCGGCGACCCGATAGTGCAGGATGGGCGTCTGCGCCCCGCCCAGCACCGGGCTGTGCTCGGGGTCCCGCACAGGGACCTTGGTCTTTGGTCCGTGCAACTCTGAACAGTAAAATTTCTTATGGTTTTCGAAATTTTCCAGTTTCCGATACCTGTTCCTACAGGTCTCGCACTCAAACATGGTCCCTCGCCCTTGGTGAGACTTCTTCTTTTCCAAGTGTGAGCCCGGGGCTGGAGGCTTGCTCCTTGGGGCTGCTGTCTCCCCGGCGGGGCTGCCTCCGGCATGGCTCTCCTCCCAGGGCTGTCCGGCCCCGAGAACATGGTTTTCGCTTGCTGAGGAGTCTTCCACCGCTGCTTGTCTCACCAGGGTGCGGGGATGTCCACTCTGGGTCACAGAAGGGTTAGGTCCTGGTACGAAGACATCATCGTAGAAAGCGCCAATTTTGTCATCAAAGGACTGACTTCCTCTCAGCGGATGCGGGGCAGGGATGATGCTGGCGGGCACTGCAGAGTACCCGGTGGTGGGCATGGAATTACTCCTGGTGATGGGCAGGCAGTCAAGGGAAGGTACGGACAGAAGAAACACTTGCTTAGATTTCTCCGTGGGGGTGAAAGGGGACTTTGGTATATCAGAGCTCGAACTTGTTCTCCGTCCCATTGGCTTCAGGTCAAACTGGAAAGAGTCCTTAAAGATGTACGACTTGGGGGAATCGATGCTTCCCCGGCGGGAGAGGGAGGTCCTCCGGGGCTTCACGCTGTCCAGCTGCTTGTCATCCACCAGGGCCTCGTTGTCGGAGATGAGCTTTGAGATCCGCTCTTCCAGCGTTTTCGTGGCCAGCGGGGGGCGCATCTGACCCGGGAGGAGGGGTGCTTTTTCACCCGCGGGAACAGCAGAGGCTGCTGCTGTGCTGCCCCGCGGGGTCGAGGGCCCGCTGTTCTTGGCAGAGTCCTGCTCCGGGGCGGGTAGCGTCCTGGCAAAGGGGGTGGGTGGACTCACGGTTTGGTCGGCGCTTTCAGATCGGGAAAAGTAGCCCGAGTCCGTACTTCCCAGGCTGCGAGGACTCAGCAGTTTTCCTTGCTGTTCCTGGCAGTAATCGGTGGCCTGCTGCCTCTGCAGCTGGGCATGCGCTGTGCCCACAGGGGACTCCGGCTTTCCGTCGGGCTGACTTGGGTCGCCTTTCTGATGGGCCTTCTCATCTGCCTCCAGGGAGGACACCCAGGAAGGGTGGGACAGGATCCGGGTTCCCTGAAGGTCTTTCTGTGCACCAGGGAGCTCAGGCTTGGAATCGGTAACCTTTGGGCTGTCAACTCTTAAAGGGGACACGCTGATGGGGTGGACCACAACCTTTGGTAACTCTGCCGCGGCCTGTGATTCTGAAGACCCGTCCTGCGGCGCAACGTCACCGACCACGCGCTCGGGATTGCTTGGAATGGAACCTGATTTTGGTAAAGCTTCCGAGCTGGACAGCATTCTTATCATCTGCGCCGGCTGCAGGTCCATGGAGCCCGGGTCGTTCAGCCTTTCGTCGCCAGCGCCATCCTCTTCGCTGTCGCCACTGTCTTCCACGTCTGAATGGATGCTAAGTGCTTTGGCGGACTCGTGTGACACGAACAAGCCGCCAGCATCCGGCTGCAGGACGAGGCCCAGTTTGATAGTGTGTGCGTGGGACTTTTTGTGCTTGTACAGGTTGCTTTTAGTCTTAAATGAAAATCCGCAGGTCACGCAGGGGTAAGGGCGCTCTCCGGTGTGGGAGCGGATGTGCTTTAGAAGCACGCTGGGCTTCGCACAGGCTCGGTTGCAATACTCACAGATATATTTTCCTTGCTTTTTTGGCTTCTGATCTTTCAGGAGAAGACTGCACATTTGCTCCACGCTGTGATTAACCACAGCGGCGACAGGGCTCGAGTTGTAGATGGGCGTGGGGGGTGACTGTGTGGAAGGTGCGGGGCTCACCGGCACCGGGGAGGCAGCGTCCACTTGCTGGTTTGGAGGGGTGACCTGAGTGCGGCCGGGGAGTGACGTGGCCGCAGCGGTGTACATGTGTTCAAGCTGGGCGTTCTCCTGGCTCTGCAGGCTCGAGAGGGGTGGGGCGAAACCCGAACACGCGGGAAGCTGCTGACTTTGCGGGCTGGGTTTAGGCACGGGGAGTTCGTGTATGTGATACGTGGGAGAGGCGGCCGGGACTGCCGCTGGGTCCTTCCTCTGAGCGGCGGACACCGGCCCAGAGGGGTACGAGGTCCGAGGCGGCGGCTGCGGCTGCGAGGGGGCGGCCGCGTCCGGCAGGCGCACGTCAGGGGCCTCCTGCGGGCTGCCGTGCGGGTGAGCCGGGGCGCGTGCGGTTTTATTTGGTCTCAGTTTTTCGATCTTCGCGGCACACGGTGAGCCCTTCTGCGACAGGGTGTTCAGCTCTGGCTCCATGGCCTTCAGCAAGACGTCGAAGGCGGTGTTTGCAAACGAGGAGGGCGGGGAGCTGCGGCCGGAGGAGACCGGACCCTCGCGGCGCTCGGCCTTGCCCTTGCCGGGCGGGGACCCGGGGTCACGCTTTCCCTCGGGGACGCCGGCCTTGGCAGGGTCGGGGCCCTCCGACCTCCATCGGCGCGGCTCGGACGGCTGCTGCGGCAGAAATGGGGGCTTCCGGGGACAGACGGGGGCTTCAGGCTTGGGGGCCCCGGCGGTCAGCCCCGGGGTCTCTCCGTTGTGTTTGGTCAGCGGCCTCCCCGCGGCCTTCGCCGGGCTGTGGCTCTGCTTCTTGTGGGGCTCCGCCGCGCCCGCGAGCACGGCGAATGGGGACTCTTCGGTATTCTGTCTGTGTTTGGCCTGGAGAGGATTTCTCAGAGGGGATTTGGGTATTTTTTTCAGGTGATTCTCCGCTACAATCTTTTTCCGTTTCACCCCTTTAAGCGATTCGGAAGTTCCTTTGATGCCAGCCTCTAAGAGTTCTGTTCAAAAAAAGGAAAAAAGAGAACCAATTGGCAAAATGGTACGCACACCAATTATGATTTTTTTTTTAAATTAACATAGTTATGACAACTGAAGAAGGCAGTTTAAGGAAAGCCCGTTTTGGATAAAACTGCATTCTAGTATTCTGGTGATAAGCTGGCCATCAAAAATCTGTTGACCTTACTATATACATTTCTAGAACGCTGTGTTCCTCTCTTGACCTTCATCTCACCAAGGTCCTGGGTGTTTTGTTTCAAAACAAAGTTATCCTCCACCTTCACCCTTGCAGCTGAGGACCCTACGATGACAGTCTGAGAGAGGTGACCCACAAAGAAGAAAATTCAACTTTTTCATGCTGGGTATTTGTCTTTTCACATTTAGTATCTTTTACAGCAAACTTCTCAGTATGTTTCTAAAATAATAGCATTGCTCCAAAATAGGCAATACTGATATCCTATGGGCTTCCCTGGTAGCTCAGCTGGTAAAGAATACGCCTGCAATGTAAGAGACCCCCCTTCACGTCCCATTCGATTCCATATAATGATCATGGGATATTCACTAGTAGAACTGTGATGAATTGCAAATATAGCAATTATATCCATAAACAAAAATATGAAAGTAAAATAATACACTTATTAGTGACTCTAACAACAAAATTTTAAAGTCAGAATGATGTAATGGCCTTTAGTAAAAAAAAAAAAAAATCACCACTTTAATTGAACAAAATATTCAATGGCTACATTTCTTTGCTGTTAATGATAGCTGAGTAGGTAGCTAGACAGAGCTTATCATAGGAGAGAAGAGACGAAACCACCTCCATTTCCCCCGTGTTAAACCACCATTCAAATGGCATCAACTACCCATAATCGCTGTCAACTATTGTATTTTTGAGCAATAATTGCTTGCCATAATTTAGTTTCTTTTGATTTTGTTGGATCCTCAGGCACATCAACAAAAATTACTCAAGCTTATATTACTTACTTATAAGGAAGCCAAATACTGTAAATTCTCATTATTTTCAAATAGCTGTTACAATGCACCTATTTGAAATTCATATTAGACCCAAATGGCTACACCAAAATAACTACTTTGCATTAACTGAAGAATTTACATAAAATAAAAATTTCTAGTCATCTTTTGACATCAGTTTATGTGCACTCATGTTTTAATTTAATGAAAAAAAAAACATACTAATCCACTAAAGATATATTTAACCACTACAATCAGAGAGGCAAATAAAAGGAGGGAAGGTATGATGAAAATACTTGAGCTAAAGAAAACTAGAAAAAAAAAAAAAGAAGGTATCAGTATTGTTGATAGAAGCAAAGTCTCTCAGTCGTATCCCACTCTTTGCAACCCCGTGGACTGTAGTCTTCCAGGCTCCTCCATCTATGGAATTTTCCAGGCATGAGTACTGGAGTGGGTTGCCATTTCTTTCTCCAGGGGGTCTTCCCAACCCAGGGATCGAACCCATGTCTCCCGCATTATAGGCAGATGCTTTACCATCTGAACCACCAGGGAAGCAGTATTGTTGATACCTCTACAAAATGACATTAAGCAAATCTTTTTGATTCTTCAACCCACTCAGTTATAAAATGGTATTTCCTCACTGGCTTTCCCTCTTCAGGACGAATGCAGTAAAGTCAGTGATGTATTTGGTGCCTCTCATTAACTACACAAGCGAGAGGGCGAAATGAAAAATGATGACCAGCATCTCGGGTGAGAAGTTTCCCCACTCACTCCCCAAGAATCTGGAGGTGGGCTAAACAAGAGTGTGGGCCAGTAGGTTGTTAAAATAGACGCAAAAACGGCAGAGCAGCCACTTGGAGGAGCAGCAGCTGCCAGCTCGGGTGACGGTCAGAGCAAAACAGAGGAGACTGGAAAAACCTGCCCACGCCAAGCCCATCCACAGCCCAGTGTGGCCTGAGCCTTGACTGGGGTGTGAACATGTTTATTTTATATTTTGCATACTCTCTGGAATAAGATTTTATTTTTAGGTAAAGCTGTTTGTCCAAAAAAAAAAGGAGTTAAACGATGGCTTACACTCCAAAGGAAAAAAAAAATTGCACAACTTCAACTCACAGGCAAATTACCAAGAAATACCAAAGGAAGTTTTAAAGGGGACATTCTAAGTATATGAAAAACAAAAAAGACAATTCTATTTTGTATTTAAAGAAAGTGAAGTTGAGATGAAGGGGAAGGAATGACTTAAGGTTCCTATTTCTTTATAGAAATCATTCTTCTAAATGTGAAAAAAACACATTTTAAACAGATTTTATGAACCACGTTTCAATTCTAAATGAAGACCCCCCTCATCTCTCTCTGTTGAATGTTTAGAACATTTACACTCTATTTGCATAGTTGTTTACTCTTTGTTCTCTGAATTTTAATACCTGGTGCTAATACACCATTTCTTTCCTTCAAAAGCGTGTACAGTCCTTTGCTTTCTGGCGGTGAAGCTTATAAAGAGAAGCCTGCTGACAGCGTAACAAGTAGTTTCTCCTCCTTGAGGTGACTTGCCTTTTTTCTGCCTGAGTGTCTGCAAGAACGTTTCTTTTCAAAGTCTAATAACAAAACTAGTAGTCAGCTCCGAAATGACCACTGTACAACTTTGAATTTTTTTTTTTCCTGGAACACAATGAACCTCTAAAAGGAGATACATTTAGTTTATTTCAGAAAAGTTTTCTTTTATTATTTATTCAAATACATTTTCTGGCCAAGTTTTTTTCTTTGGGGTGGGCTCTTTTACATTACTGACATCAATTATCGTTGTGCAGGACCACCCTTATGATGATTTAAATTGCTTCCATCTTTTTGTTTCTCTCCTTTGCTTTTTCTAGAATGATCTAAAGCTTTTCCCCTTACATGAGTAATTTGATTTTTAGGCCATTAAGTTACTGTTCTATCACTTTTGTTAGTTTTTGACCGACATTGTTTTGTTCCCTAAGTTCCATATTTTCCATGTCATCTCATTTTATTGCCTCATATTATGTGTGACTGTGTGTGTGTGTGTGTGTGTGTGTGTGCGTGCGTGCATGCGCACGCACACAAACATGCATGCTAATCGCTCAGTTGCTCCAACTCTTTGTGACGCCATGGACCGTAGCCTGCCAGGCTCCTCTGTCCATGGGATTTCCCAGGAAGAATACTGGAGTGCTATTTCCTGCTCCAGGGGCTCTTCCTGACCCAGGGATCGAACCCCAGTCTCCTGTATTGCAGGCGGATTCTTTACTGTCTGAGCCACCAGGGAAGAAGCCCACTGTGGCTTTAAATAAATTTATTATCTTACAAGTTTAAAGAAGCTTATGCTTCTGTTTCTGAGATAATAATTTCTTTAAGGCTGAACTTTTGGTCCTTCTTTTCAAACTCTGCTTATCTATTACCTGAAATCATGGGGAATCACAGTGGGTAGTGTTCAATGGAGAATATGATCCCAACAGTGTTTTTCTGAGCTATGTTCACGCTTCTAAGGTTTTGTTGGATCTCCCTTACCAATCCCCCTGTTTAAGGAATAAAGTTAAGGAAATAGGAGCTGAAGTATGACAAAGGATATTCTTCTGGTTGGATAGTGTCAGGTACGGTGAACTACCAGTGTGTTCAAAACCCTGCCTTGATTGAAGGTGAGACTCTTTTTCTGATTGACTAAAAAGTACATAAGTGTGAACAACTTCAGATCTCTCCTGGTTTTGGGGACATGGGGACCACCTGTTTTCTAACAACTGAGGTCACACTGGTGTCAGACGGTCAAGAGATCAGAGGGAGGGGGCACCATTTAGAAGGCCTTTCAGTGGTTCAGGCAAGAGTTAAAATGCTACCCTGAACTCAGCCAGTGACAGGGGACCTCCGAGCTGATTCAAAGTAAGACCGCGGGAGAAAGGCTTGCCCAAGGTTGTGCTGAGGCTCCCTGTCTCTCTGGAAGGGCCAAGACTAAGCTTGTTTTGGGGGAGGGAGGTGTGGCTGGGGTGGAAATCAACTCACTTTCCATCCCACCAAATCTCAAGCTCAATATCCACATGGAGAATTATAAATTATAGCTGCAGACCCAGGACGAGACATGCTCAGCATGGAAATGGTAAGGCTAATAATGGCAGAGCCACTTAACATAACATTAGACATCCATTTCAAGTAATTACAAAGATTACACAGCAGTATGAAAATGATGATATATTAAATAGACATGCACATATTCTTTTCTTTCCCTATAGAGAGTACGGGCTAGAGGCACAGATCTGGGAGTATGCAGTGAGTGCTGTTTTCATAAAAGTACAGAAATGAGAAGCCAGAGAGGATATACAGTAGAGAGGTCTGCCATCAGAAGTTTGGGTAATCCTGCATTTAAGGGTGGGCTAGAAACAACAAGAATGATAATGATGAGAAAAATAACGACAGCAAATACTAAAAAAAAAAAAGACAAAATACAAAATATGTGACAGGAGGGTCCAGGAAGCCAGGGTTTAGAGACTTCTAAGGAGAAAATGTGAGCAACAGTGTTAAGCATCAGGTTCAGATAAACAGGATGAGACATGAAACTGCTAGGTGTGGGGGCCACTGGGATTTCATTCTGTCAATAACCTGAGTGGGCAAGGAGACAGATTCTCTCCTAGAAACTCCAGAAGGAAACGGGGCTCTGCTGACCCCTTGACTGAAGCCCTGTGAGACCATGTGGGGCTTCCGACCTACAGAACTAGAGGATTAAGTATTTCTTGAAAGCAATGGAAAACGAACACAGGTAGCCACGGGGCACATGTGACTGTTTAAACTTAAAAACAGTCTGTTGCTCAGAAAAGGAGTATGTATGTTCTCTGACCACAGCAAAATTAAATGCGAAATAAACAGCAGAAAGACATCTGGAAAATCCCCAAATATTTGGAAATTGAATAATGTATTTCTAAATAGCCTAGGGGTTAAAGAGGAAGTCATAGGGGAATTAGAAAAATCCAAACAAACCTTCACAGCACTAGGAAAACATAATAAGGAATATTTACCATGCCAATGAGAG